TGGCAAAGGCAAAATTAATATTTGACTTCACTTGTCACTTCCTTCCATGTGAAATAGTACATTCAGTTGTTGAGTTTAGTATTTGTCTCCTACTTGTTTTCAATCACTTTTATCCTCCTTTTGCTCTCTGTAATGCATGAAAGCTGTAACAAATGACATTCCTGAAGGGATGTGTGATTCCTGGATTTAGGAAGGCTCCAGCAGGATGGGGGAAAACAGAATTTATGGTGCCTGAGAGCACTGTCCCAGAGGGCTCAGCCCTGATCCCCTTTCTTGAGTCATCTGCCTTCCATAGCCACTGCTCCTTGAGATCAGGAACTTGGCATGGAATAAGGAACTGCTTCAAATTAGCAACTCTGCACCTGAGTAGAAACAGCCAGGGAAAATAAGAGTTTGGAGATTTTTTTGTAGGAGAGAAACAGGGAAAGGATAGGGAAAAAGATGGTTAACATTGGAGGTGGGGAGAAAGATTGGGACTTACTGGCAAAGTAAAGAAAAGCTGTTCATTAGGTGAAGGTGGGTACCAACTTTAGGAGAAATCTTTAGGTGCTGAATTTAACAGTATTTATTACTGAATGTAGAAGATACCATTTCAGTTAAATTTCTACCTTCTGTGCTGTTGTGTGGTAAAACATTGTTTGTACTGAATCTGTTTGTTCAATTTCTTTTATGTGAGTTGAGGTCTGATGTTAGGTCACTGAGGGGAAAAAGGAAGATATTCATTGGGTCTTTGGTATTCTTCTAATGAAGACTTTAGAGACAGACTATTCCATTTTCCCGGCACTATGGAAGCAGAAATTTGTTCACAGACACGCCATGTGTTCAGAATTAGACCATCTCCCTCCCTCTGCCCTTCCCTGCCCTTCCTCTACCTCTTCCTGTTCCCCCCTCACCTCCTGCATCACTTTTGTGTCTGGCCAGGCTCCCTGCTGGCAGCAATCTGTGCTGCCATATGAAAGAGCAGCATTTGATTTTCCCCAGTCTCTCAGCCCTCACTTCCCTTCCTGGAGTCTGGCAGAGCCCCTGGCAGTGCCAGTGCAGCATTCCAGGCCTTCCAAGGCACGGGATGAGCCTGCTTGGTTCATTATGGAGCACAGTTCTTTTGAGGTTTGCATTTGAAGTAAATGGTCTGCAAGGTCATGGCTGGCAAACAACCAAAGTGGGAACAATTGAAAAAGAATTATCTCGCCTCCTAATCTCTGTTGTATTTATAAAATTGAGCATCAATTTTTACGTCCCTTTTGCCAGGCAAGTTTAACTCTGCTCAAGTGCTGCACATTCCCCTGGAGAACAAATGTTAATTGATGTGGCATCTCTGTAGTCTCTGTACACTGTGAAGAAGGAGTTTAATTAGCCTGTTCTTTCTGCACAAGCACAACTTAATAACTAATTAACTAATTAGCAACCACTTCTTGCAGTGTAGTTCAGCAGTGATTTCTTTGGACTAAAACTGGAGATAGCAGTAAAGAATCTCAACCATCTGTCGATCCCAGTTATAGTGTGATGTTAGGGTGGAGAATAAAATATGAAGCCTTTAGGTTGTCAAGGACATGTTTTCTTTTAAAAATATTTTAGTCACGTCTGTTAAGGGTTTGTTCTCTCTTTAAATATTCTTTTTATATAAAACTATTAAATAAAGACTGCTCAGTCTAAAGAGTCACGACTGAGGTTACATTCTAAACAACATGTGGCAGTCACAAAACTTAACTTGTATTTGGAAAATGGTCTTGAGGCAGAGCAAGCAACATGAAATTCTTAGATTGTAACAATTACTGTGGAGCCCGGCAGAGCTGAAGTGAGCGCTCCTGCAATGCATTTAATATTCTGCACTTCGGGGAACAATGCTTCAGCCTCTCAATTACACCAGTAGGAAGTCATGATTTGTTTTTACATTTGGGGAGTTGTCAGAGCAATGAAAATGTGCTGATGAGACACTTCTAAGCTGTAATTGATTGCTGTGCTAAGTAGGAGGAAATGCCACTGGGTGAGTAGGGTTCAGAAGCAGAAAACTAATGTGCGTGAAACTTTATTTTGCAGCTTAATTGTAGCCAGCAAGTTTCATCCCACACCCTTGTTACTTTCTTTATTGGAATTTGTTGCTCCTTCGAGGCCTTTTGTTGTCTACTGCCAATATAAAGAGGTAAATCAGGATGTTACTTCAGCTGTTACAGTTCAAGCCTGGTGCCATTCTGCTGTGTAACCTCCTCTTTGGTTTTTCTAAGCCATTATTAGAGTGTTACACCAGGCTGAGAGAAAGAGGTGGAGTCATCAACCTGAAACTGTCTGAAACCTGGCTACGGAACTACCAGGTAAGGATGGCAGTACGGGGCTGTCAAAACCATGGGAATTCTGGGGAGCAAAACATTCCCTGAAAATAGGGGGGAGGTTGGAGTGACTGAAACAATGTGTAAGCTCAGGCATTTGCTCTACCCAAGAGTAGTGGGTATTCTGAAGAGCTTTAATGCTTCACTGTAGTGATTTCCAGTGGAAAGACTTTCTTGCATTTTATTAAACATGTACTGAAATATTTGTAGGCAAGTGCCAGGGTTAATAATTCCTAGATATCCACACAAGGTGGGCCCGGCCAGGGCTCCTGTGTCCAGCTGCAGTGAGAACAGCACTGCGGTGTCCTGGACACAAGTAAAACCTCTGAGAGCTGCAGGGACAGTCAGGGCACAGCTGAAGGGACAGTCCTTACAAAAAGGCGTGATGTGGCTGAAAGGGAGGCTCACTGCTGTGTCTGACCCTAAGGGTGGCTGCAGAAACGTGATAGGGACAGAACTGGAAATCACAGAAACCCTTCAGGCTGGTTTGTGCAGCAGCTGTGCTTTCCTGCAGAGTACCTCACTTCTGAGCACATTGTGGCACTTTCATGGGTCTCAGACCTTGGCTTTGTAGTTTTGCTGGCAATACCATGAAGAAGTAACCAGTGAGGCAGCAGCCTGTATTATTATGGATTTCTACAATTGAATTCTCCTCTGCAGATACTTTAAAGAGAAATACACTTCCCAAATGGCTGCTTGGTGTTGTGGCTGGGAAAAAAGTTTACATCCATACTATCCTGTAAACTGAGATTACACAGCACGATGTGCACACACACAATGGATTTTTACAGGTGCTGGTTGTGGGGTGTGTTTTGGGTGTGTTTTGTTGTTGTTTGTTTGTTTGTTTTAAAGGTTTTGCCGGATCGCAGCCATCCTAAGCTGACCATGAGCGGAGGTGGGGGGTACCTCCTGTCTGGCATCACTGTCATCTTGGAGAAGGGCAAAGCTGATTCCAGTAACTCAGAAGCACTGAAAATGGAGGAGCCATCATCTAAAAGATGCAGACTGCAAGACCTTCCTTGTTAACATTTAGAAAACTGACTTGTGGTTTAGATCTCAGGAGTTTAGTGAAATAACAAGTCCTTTCTGTGCTGTTGGCAGCACAGGGCTGTGCCTGTCGTGCATCTGTCAGAGAAAGCAGCAGAACTGCAGGGGAGGGAGGACTGTCCTGCTCCTTAGCAGTTCACATCACCGGAATGTCAAGGAAAACCCTTGGGAGCAAACATCCCACTGAACTCACAGGAACTTCAAGAAGGAGGGAAGATCAAGAGAAGACAAAGCCTCAGTGCAGGCATTCTGTTTGTTTGTAAGCAGGCTTAGCTCTCCATTCTCCCAGAAAGGCATTGGAGGATTCTCCTCAGGCTTCCACGTGGTGATCTGCTCCCCCTTCGGACACAGAACTCGGCTCTCTCCAGTAATTTAAAAAAGTAGAATGAACAGCAAAAATCATACATGTTTTTCTCCAAAGGAATAATAAAAAGACAAATCTAATAGTAGAGATGACCCCATGCTTACAGCATGACTCCATGTTTTCCTGAAATATATACAGAGGAGAAAGTGCATGTTCTTAAATTAAAATACTAAATATTTAAACAAAGTCACTATTAGTATTGTCTGTCATTTTCCAAGACATTTTCTGAGAGTTGCTGTATGTTTTTAAGATATTACTATTTTGAAAACTGCTGTATGTATATTTATTTATTCTACTGTTGGATCTTTCAGATGTCGGGCTTTTTTTATTAATTTTTTTTAACTTTGCATTTGCCATTTAAATTAAACTACAGGGTATTTTCCCTAAAGAGATTGATCTTCTTTTTCTTACTTTTCCCTCTTCTTGGAAATAAGAAGGTCCAGCATAGGCTTTAGGAGGATAATACTGTGCTCCAGTGGGAGCTCATAGGGCCAGGAGGGCTTGGCTTCCATTCTGGAACTCCCTCATCAGTGTCTGGACTGACTGGACAGAACCTGGAGCTTTGGGATCAAGTGCTGAGGTTTGATAAAGCTGTAAAATTCAGTATTTTGAGAACAGTCATGTTCTTCCAGGGCAGCATTAGCTCAAAACAGGGGTTGTATTTCAAGGAAAGAAGCAGTTAAAGGTTTCTCGTGGGAGAACAGGTACACTACATCTGGTTTTATCTACCTCTGCTTCTTGTAAACTTCCCAGTGTTGTTTTTCTACTTTTTGGGAAGTTTCTCTTCTTATGTGAACAACCCATAAAAGGAGAGGATGTAGATTCCACCATCTCTGCATTCTAGATGGCTGCTGATCCTAGATACTGTGACAATAAAGACAACAACATGGGAAAAACATATTTGCATAATAGACCAGTTTGAGAAAGGAACAGTGTTGGAACACATGAGGAGTTAATGTGGATCAAAGCCAAAGTGGTTCCATTTCACCAGCAGTGACACTGACGCAGTCTCCACTCTGAATCCCACTTTTCAAATGTGCCATAACCCTTGATCAATGCAGTGAAAATAAGTAAGGAAACAAGAAATAAATCACTATTGAGATTTCAAATTCCTTCTTCCCTCTCATGCAAACAAAATGCACACAGACGAGCTCCTTGTAACTTTGAAAAGATAGTGGTGGAGGACCCCTATTTTGTGCACAATCTACACACCTGATCCAGCTCACTCTGAGCTCACCCCATCAGCCACATGAACAAAGAGAAGGTTTGGTCCAAGATCAATGGTTTTTATTATTGCAAACTCAGACAAATATATTCCTGAAGAACACTAACACAATTATCTCCAAAAGCATATTAAAAATACCTGCCCACGTGAAAGGTTATATTACTAAAATTCATGCCATTCAGGTCTCAGGAGCATAACAGCAAATTAAAGACACTTTCAGCTGTGTAAATCACTACACGAGAGTGGACAGTGAATAGAATTTCCTGGGTTTAGGGCAAACAACAATCCAGTGGCAGTGAATTTACCACAGAACATGGGTAGCACGAGGACACCTTCAGCCTCTCCTGAGGCTGTTGATCTTCTCTGCTATGTTCTGCAGCTCCAGGTCCATGGTGGCCAAGTTTTCCAGCTGCTTTTCCTGTGAAAACAGAGAGCGTTTTACACATCATTATTAGCACTGGCAAATGTTTTGTTCCATGGAAAGGAGAGGAAAGGCCATTTCTGAGGCAGAGTCTGTCCTGCCCCTTCCCCGTCCCTGAGCAGAGCAGGTGTAAACAGGAGTGCAGCAAATACCTGGGAGATTGGTGAAATTCCCTGCTTTGGATTGAATTGAGGCTGGGGAAAGCACCAAAATTTTAATTCTGAGAGCTGGCTCCAATTACAGCCTCGCCTTTGTAGATTTCAAGCACCATTAGCAGTGGTGGCCTCCTGCCATGTCACAGGTGCAGGTGCTGTCCCTGCGAGCTCCCACAGCAAGCACAGTGTGCAGCAAGGGCAGAGAGCAGCAGAAGCTTTATGCAGCCAATTCTTTACCACGATGACTCGTCACCACCAATTAACATCTGCATAAATCAGTGCCCAGCCTGCACTGCTCCCAGCACAGCTCTGTGCCGTGCAGAACTGTGACACACACGAGGAGCTCTGGCTGATGGGAGCTAACTGATGGGTGTGGGCTCGGTTTTCCTGGATACTGGAGAAGAACAGGAAGTACAACAACAAAAAAAGAGGATTCACTAAGTGTGAACTGCACATATGAACTGGACTTACAGGTGCAATGCAGGTTCTGCTCTGCAATTCCAGCTGGGAAGTTCATGGGCAGCTGATTTCCCTCTAAACACCCAACTCACTTTTCAGCTCTGTATTTTGAACAGCCTCACAGCACAAGTGGTGCTTGTCAGCTCCCTCTCTGCTCCTGCTGCAATGGCACCTTTGTTTTGTCAGATTGTACAGCCTCCAGGGAGAGGCAGGGCCCAAAGAAGAATAAAATCTTTCCCTTCCTGCCTTACAACAGATAGGAGCTGTGTCTTTATGCCACAAACTGTGCTCTGGAGTAGTTCAGCAAACTCAAAGTTCCACTGTTCAAAGAAAGAAGATTTTTAAATCACTGAAGATCTCTCAAAATGTGACTTAATCTTGTTGTGTTTTTCTGTGTACAGTTTCCCAGCTACCTTGGGAATGGATTTGGAAATGTGCTCCCCCCAGCTTTTCAGAGGAACTGCCGCGCACTTACCTCCTCTTCCGTCAGGGGCCTCTGGCTTAGGCTCCTTCTGTCGTTCCCAGCTACGGGACGTTTCTTCAGGTCTTCTCCAGAGCTGTACAGCTCTGGGAGTTCAGCTGACTTCTTCCTGTAGTTCAGAAGCTGTGCAAGTTGATCCATCTTGTTGTACTGCCTTTCCACACCGTATCCGTTTGTTTTGCCAGGATTCCTCTTCTCGGTGCGCCTGTGGTTCAGAGCACTCTGGATCTGCTTTTCTGACCACCACTCATAGTCATTGTATTCAGGGAAAAGGCTCTTCTCACTCAGGGTGGGCCTGCCTTCCTCCCTGCCCTCCAGAAGCTGCTCCCCTGCACTGTCCCTTTTGTCCAAGTGCTGGCTTTTCCACCAAAGCAGTGGGTAGAAAGGCCTGTAGGAAGCTGCAGTTCTCTTCTCCTTCTCTGCAGGGAGATGGCCTCTGTATTCTTCCCTCTCTGCAAATCTTTCCTCCTCTTCATTTTCCACCTGGTCACTGCTGTGATGCTTCTTTTCCACCACCTCGTCCTCCTCCAGGCTGTCCTCAGTGCTGTAGTGCCTCCTGGCCTGCCCCTGGTGCTCCCGAGCATGGGCCTTCTGTGACCCTTCCTCTTCCCTGCTCCGGAAGTGCGGTCTCCCTCCGACACGACGCTGCTTCTCCTTGCTGAGAATCCTGTCCAGCCCTTCCTCATTTTCATCAGCAAGGTACATCCTCCCCTCAGAACGGCGTGATCCGTCGTGGTGTCTCCTCTCCTCACGCCACTTCTCTTCGCTCTCCTCACTGTGGTGATGCCTCTTGTTTTCCTCTTCCCTGCTCTCCTGGCTCTGCTGCCAGCTGTCCCTGTGCTCCTCACTGCCCTGCTCTGCAGGCCTCTCCTCCTGCAGCTCCTCAGGCCCACGCCTCCCAGCAGAGCCACCCTTCTCCTCAGACTCTTCCTGATGTTTCTGACGGTGCTTCCACTGCTCCCAGAGATTGGCCTCCCCTGGATGTGATGCCCCCACTGGTTCCCCCCTCTCACCACCACGGCCCCTCTTCTCTTCATAGGAGTCACCCGCTCTGTGCTTCCCATGATAATCTTTGGGTTTGTAGGGTTCCTTTCTCTCCTCTCTTTCTTCACTCTCCTCAGATTCTTCACGCTCCTGCTGGTGAGAGAAACCACGTTCCTGAGACTCATGGTGGTATTTCTCACTCCTTTCTTCCTCTCCCTCTTCACCTTCCCGAATTTGTTTGTAAGGGCTCTGCACTCCCTCCTCCAGGTGCCAGTGGCCCCTGGGGCTCTGATCATTCCCACCATGGAGCTCATCCATGCTCATGCCCTCAGAGTGGGACTTCTTGGCGAGAACAGCAGCCTCTACATCTTCACAACACTTGCCCTCTTTGCTCTCCTCCTCACTGTGGTAATTCCTCTCCTCCTCTCTCCCCATTTCCTGGTAGTGCTTCTTTTCTTCCATGTGAAGTGTCTCGTCCTGAGCAGGTGTGTGGTGCCCAGCCTCCTCTTCCTTGCTTTTACCTTCCTCACGAGCAAGTTTCTCCTCATCACCTCCTTCCATGTACGTTTTGGATTCCTCTTCTGCCTGCCTTTGCTCTTTCTCCACGCTCCCAGCAGGAAGGTTTTCCATCTCTCTTGGGTCTTTGGGATGCCTCACTTCAGGCTGTATGTTTTCACTCCTCTCTCTGTCATCTTTGTCACCTACAGTAACAAAAGAAGCGTCACGGAGCAATCCAACCCCCCCCTGAAGTGTTATTTCAAAGAGATGACTTGGCTTCCCAAAGCATCATGGAAATTCAGACAGAATTGATTTCTTAATTCTGCTTTTAAAATCATTTGTTTGCTACTATTTTGTATGGCTGCCTGGAAAAAGATTAACTAATTAACACCACTTAATTAGGCATTTTACAGGTTACCCTGGAATTTCCAGAATAATTTTCCTTCTTTGGCTTTTTTTGTGGTTGCATTTTTAGTATTTAATCAAGCTAGCTCTCATTCCCATTAAAAATCAGTGGGATCTGGGGTTGTGTTCAGTTCTTTGAATGTCAGACCTGGCCCATCACGGATGATTATTCACAATAAAAATACAACCATCTATTCCAAGCTACCCAAGAACACCAGGGATTTTTTATCAAATTTTAAAAGCTTTTTTTTTAATTGACTGAAAAAATATCAAAGAAATCTGATGATTTGCAATAGTTATGCTTCATCTTCTCAGGTTACCTAAAGAGTTTGTCAAGTCCTCTCAGACCCTCCAGGTGGTTCAAGGAGAGGGCCACAAGTGCCAGCCAAGAATCCCTGACAATTTCCAGGTCAGGCTGTTTGTTCCCTCAGCAAGACAGACTGAACAGAAGGAAACCAGAATTCTGGCACTGAAATCACACAGGCTGAGGTAACAGTTCACCAGCTCCAACACCAGAGAGAAAATGAGAGATGCACCAAATTCCTTTCTTAAGTTCAGATCACGTTGTACTTACTCTTCTTCAGGATTTCTTTGCATTCAGGATTAATGGGGGGTGCATTGGGCTTAGACAGAGCGTTGGACAGGACCTCCACTATGCACCGGGTTACCTGCAAGGGACAAAACAGGAGAGAAAATCCTCATGACAAAAATGGAAACTTTACTTCTGACCCAGCTGGCTGAAAAGCCTGTTTGAGATCAGAGTTCAGGCTACTGTTAATGAGTTTTGAGTAATCCTGTGCATTTGGGCTTTGCCCCTCACTCCTGTACCGGTAGGAAGAGAACGGACAGGCCTTTTTATCTCCCCTTTTGTTTGCAGAGGTAAGGGGCTTCTTTTGCACCTTTTTAAATATTAAACACCCTACTCAGTACAAAGGAGAGTCAAACAACACGTGGTAACACACCCTGTGAAATAAACAGACACAACACACATTCAAAGTATGAGGATTATCCCGTAGGATCTGTCCAAATGAGGATCCTGCAAAGGCACTTTGGACTGCCAATACACTAAAACACCTCTATGTCCTCTGTAAGGGATACAATCCACACCTTTACACGTGTGTGTGCTCTAAGTCCTGCCTGGTTTTTAGCAGTGAACATTCAACTGGATTGTCTGGAAGCAGAGAAAATGGATTGATTTAGGAAAGCCACACAATGTGCTCTAATTCTAAGAACTACCAAAGTATCTCCTGTGTATGAAGTGATTTTCAAGAGCTGAAGTTGTTGGTGAGAACAAGTGCTCCTGTTTGCTGGGGGTACAAGAGCTGACAATCTGTGGGGATGACTGGGAGGAGACAATGAAACATTTATAGAGCCATTTGCCTTTAACTACTTTTGGTTATTACCAGGTGTTTGCTGATCTAAATGATCACAGCAACAACCAGTGCAGGGCGTCTGGTGTCAGGGTAAAGAGTCTGGGGGCAACTGCTGGCATTTATTTAATCACACAGGGTAAGATCTCTTTCCAAAGCAGGAGAGGAAGGACTGATCAGAAAGTCTGTTACACTGTTGATAACTGAAGGTATTTCACCTTTCCCTGAAGTTGTCAGTACAAGAACATGTACTGAGCACAATTTCTGATCACTTTTCAAGCAGCTGTACAATGCAGAGCTTGTGCACTGACACAAGAGGCAGCTCCCATTTCCACCGAGGTGCAGGCAGGCATCTCCTGACAGCTAAAGGCACCCCGAGTTCCATGTCAGCCATCAGCTTTTAAAAATGTACCTTCAGGAAAAAACATGAAGCACTGTCCTGAGAGTTTAAAGAAATGGAGAACACATCACTGGTATTTTCTGAGGTTGGTTTGACAAGCAGCTACTCACCATTTCTTCAGTATGGTCTTTTTCCACTGGAACTGCACTGGCACCTGAAAGAAAAACCAATTATTAGAAGACTCATTAATACAAGCATCACTGACAGGAGTCCTCAGTCAAATAGGTCTGATGAGACAGCTTGAGTTTTGGGTTGGCAGTCAACTAAACCAGGCACATTCCACATTAAATCTTTCCCTATTTGGATGGAAAAGCCATGTAAAATTGAGGCACAGCAGAAGAGAAGAGGCATGGTAACACTTGTAGCACTAAAATAATATACACCAAGAATAACCCCACCCACAAAAACTGCAACACCAAAGAAAGCCACGCTGAAATTCCAAAGTGGAACTTCACATCAGGTCCTTATGTAGCTGCACCTGCTTGATGGTAAAAAGAAAATCAAACCAAACAAGCGAGGCCTGTTTGCACCCCCAGAATCTTTCAGCTTTTGAAGAAGCTCTAGGTGCACCCCCTGCCAACAGCAGACCATTCTTCAAGACTCTAAAGCAGCTACTGTCCCAGTCCTGCTGGAGAAATACTGACTCACTTGGAGGTGGCTCCTGGAATGATGGAGAGAGCCAGAAGGGAAAGGAAAAATTCCATTCACTGAGTGGTCCATTATCATTGCAAGAAATAAACAAAACCCCCTCAAATCTCAGTGGAAAACTACTCTGGCAGGAAGCAGTACAACCCATCCCTCTCTCTCTCTCTCTGCCCTGAGGACACGTGGGATAACACACTCCTTACACCAGTTCTACTGTACCTGGGCCAAGGAATTTGCTTTAGGAAAGAAGACACTGCCAATAAAACCTCGGTGCTGCCTTATTTTGCCATCACTGCTGCAATGTCTCCAGCTGGTTAATGAGCTTGGCTGCTGTGTGTTATTAATAAACTGTGTCAATTCCCATCCACCTGGAGATTTCCAGGAGTGAGGTTCAGCACCGCTGGCAGCCACACAGAAGTGTGAGGAAGCACTCCTGGGCCTGTTGAATCCTGGCTCTGCAAGCCTCCCACACTGTGCAGAACCACAGCACACAAACACACAGCTTGGGGCGCAGCTCTGGAGTCCTTACATGGGTCAGGAGAGTCCTAAACACAACCATGACCTCAGACTGGCTGGGTCAGTGAGAGACCTCCTGAAACAGATGAACACGTAGCACACCATGTAGATAAAGGAGGTCAGTTTTACCTCTCAGCATCAGGAGAATGAACACCACCCCAAGTAAGACAGGAGCATGTAGCCCTTCACTATTTAAAGCAGCACAACCTTTATTCTCTGTGCTGGCAGAGGAAGCAGACGTCCCCTGGAGCACTGACTCAGAGTATAATAGCTGAGCATCATACAATAATGACTCCTGGTATTTCTGTGCTCTCCCCCAAACACATATGTGAGGATGTGCTTCTCCAGCCTCCACCCCTTCCCTGCGTATACCAGTGCCATCAGAGAAGGGAACCCACACAAGGAGAGCACAGAAGGGATTCCCCTAAAATAGCACTGCATCCCTCCCCCAGCATTCCCCCGGAGTGCCAGGTGGTGTGTGAGGGGAGATGGTTCCGCACAGAGCCAACCCTCTCCCTGTCTCTGGCACTCAGCGCTGCCTGAGGCAGGCTCCGAGCTCCCTGACTGACCCAGTGTGCAAACAATGACCACACTGCTGCAGCCCACCCTGCTGGTGCATGGAGGAGCAGGATGGACGTACATGGGGGCAGCAGACAAAGCCCCTTCCGCTAAAAAAAAGTGCTGTTCTTAAAAAAGACATTCTCTCAATCCCACAGGTGCTGGGGATGCTGCTCTTACAGCAGGAGCTGCTCCCAGTCTCCACTCACATGCAAGCACAGGTATGAGCCCCTTCACTGCCTCCTCTTGGGGAGGCTCCTCTGCTCCTCCAGCCCCCGAGAACACCTGGGCAAACATCTGATTTTGTCCTTTTAGTGACGCAGCCACATCACATCACCTGTGAGTGACACCCGGGGGATGTGATAAAGCACAGAGCAGACAAACTCCTGGACATCTTTTCCTACTTCAGGGGGTGCCCTGAGTGCTGTCAGTGTCACAGGAAGACAAAGTCAGGTTGTACCCACTGTCTTTGCTGTGTCATTCAAAAGCTCACAAGAGCTTGGTTCACAGTGAAAGCCAGCATGGACAGAGAGGGAGCATCATAACAACATCAGGAGAACCAAATGGTATTGGACATATGTCGTATTAACCTGCCTGGAGAAACAGAATGAGCCTCCAATCCATGCCAGAGCCTGAAATAACACACTGAGGCAGCTGCTCTGCCAGGAAGGCAGTGGGGAGCCAGCAATGCCCCACTTTTCCCAGGTGCTGGCAGTGCCAGCCCACGCCAGCCGGCGAGAGCTCCCTTGGGGCCACCTGCCACCTGAAGGTGCTGGCCAGCAGGGCTGCCTCCCTCTGCACTGTCACTTGTCACAAACCATCACCCTCAGGCAGCAGGGCACCCAGCCATGGGCTTGCAGGAACACAGCAGATGGGACCACTGCGGGGTCCCAGAGCAGAGCACAGCCAGAGCACGTGCCAGAATGGGAACCTTGCACCTGAACACACAGCAGGAGGCAAACCACAGCCCCACGGAGTAAAGCTAAGCCCTGGCTCTGCTTTACCCTCCTGAACCAAGCCTGCCCAGGCACTTACGATCAGACTCTTTGATTTTGCCTAAGTGCTGAGAGTTGATGGATACCATGAAAAATGATAAATGCAGGACAAATTCACAGGGTTTTTGCTCGCATCTCCAAGATTAGAACAGATCTTCGGGTGGGTCCCTGATGAAATCCCCACATGGCTTTGTTTCATCAGTGCAGATGACTCAGTGCAGTGTCATTCCTCATCAAAATGTCACAGTGTCTTCCTAGGCAGGATCACTGAAATTTAGGCATATTGATTCGCAGGACTACTAGAAAGTTCTTGAAGTTAATGTTTAACCAATTCAACATTTAAAAGCACTACAGCCACAAAGGATGTAAAGAAGTACCTGATCTGTTTGATGGCATAAACAGGAAAAAATATTTGGTAATGAACCCCCATAGAATCTAAGGTATAAGTGTGCTGAGCTTCTCCATGCTGGGGTCTGTCCTCCTGTATTCCACCCTCCCTCTTTGATTTCAATAAAGGCACTTGAAGGCAGTCAACTTCCTCGCACTCTTTGTTGGAGTCAGAAGTGTGAAGACTTCTTACAGACCTAAAGCCAAAATACCCAACCCAGAACGATTCTTTCAAGCAATGATGTAAGTATGCATAAAACGCTCCAGAGCCAAGCCACCACCTCATTCTATTGTGTTTAAGGTTCATTTCACAGCGGGGTTTTAGCATTAAATGCCGCGTGCAAACAAAAAAATAAAAAATCCTATCAGTTAAACCTGCAGAGCCGCTACTTTGCCATCACCTCCCGCTGGCAAAAACCCAGCAGCACCCTTGGAACGAAACGGCACCGAGAAGTCTTTGTGCAGAGATGCTGCACTGGGATAGAAATAAAGGCGGAGCAGGCGGGGAGCTCTCGCCCAGCGCCATCCCCACCGCCCCTTCCCTGCGGGTCCCCGGAGCCCCTCCATCCCTGCCCCGCTCCCTCCGGGGCTGTTCCCCGGCCGCTCCCCGCCTTTCCCCGCGGGATGCGCCCCTGTCCCGCTCACCTGCCAGGGCGGCGGCCGCCAGGAGGGCGAGCAGCGCCCGCGGCCCCATGCTCGGCTCTGCCGGGCTGGGCTGCGCTGGGCTGGGCTGCGCTCGGCGGCTCCGGCGCGGTTTAAATGGGGATGGGGGCGGAGGAGACGGGCGGGGGGCCCCGCCGGGAGCTGCGTCACTGCGAGCCCCCGGGGGCGGTACCGGCACCGCCGCCACCCCCGTCCTGTCCTCCCCGCTCGGCCCCGGCCGCCCCCTCCCCTCCCGGGCAGCGCAACTTTCTCACACGCTGGGCAAGCCGAGCTCCATTTCCCTCCCTTGGCAACTACCGCCGCCGCCCTTCCTGCCCTCCCCAATACTTCCAAGACCCCCGTGCATCCCCCACCCCGCCCCGCAGGAAAGGGGGAAAGCGGGGCTTCCCTGCCTCTTTCTCCAGCTCAGAGGATGCGGGATCATCCTTAGGTCTTTTCCCACCGTCAGAGGATGCCGAGCCTCTGCCTAAGGGAGGAGGTGCGGTGACCCATCCCTCTTAAACAGCTTCCACAAGAAATCGCCGCGCTTCCACGGTCTTTTCCCACCGAAGCCTCTTCAGGTGCTGCCGCAGCCTTTTCTTCCTGCAAGGTTTTTGTCCCTTCCCCTCCCCTCATTGCTCCCTCCTCTCACAGCCTCCCCCTATGCAGTACACCCAGACCCAGAGAACGGCTGGGAAGTAATCCCAGTATTTCTGTCACCTGGGGAGGGAATGAGATGCAGTATTCCCCAGGAGTTCTACCGGGGAAATCACTGCTCTCAGCATCCATCCCCACAGGCAAACCTCTCATTTACTGTGATGATGCTCTGGGGAGCCAGGGGAAGCGTACCGAGATCAAGTTTTACATCGTTTCCTTTAACAGCCCCCGCTGTCCCAATTAGCCCTTAGTGGAATAAAAAGCTTAAATAACAAGTTAAAACGAGGTCTCCATAGAGGAAGCCTGAATGTTCCGCCCGGTTCCCTTCAGGGCCAGGCAAAGACCAGAACTCCTTTTGGTTTTCATTAACCCTCAGAGGGCCATCTCGCGTATTTTCAGTTTTCTCTTTTGTTTGTCTTCAGAGCCAAGCAGATGGCTCTCTAATTGCCAGCGTTCCTGGAGGACAATGGATCTACACATCAAGTTGGCAGTTCCCTCTGTTATCATTCTGTGTGCCATTCTATTGTCCATTAACAATGGCAGGCTGCTACAACCACACAGCCTTTAAAGACAGAAAACAGGACACAAGCACAGCGCTCCGATCAAACTCACCAGCAGCTTCATCGGTGTATAATGGAAGCATAAAGGAATTCCAGCTCCATTTGAAGCCTGTTCCAGGAGGAGACACCAAGGAGGCAAAGCCAGACACCTCGTTCACCTTGCATTCAGTTTACAATTTCTGCAAAATAACAGAACTCAGTCACCTGGCCACCGTGGAAGGCAAACCATCTGCAACACCTCCCGACCTCCCCTCCTGCATGCTGCTCCTGTACTGCCCCATCCCCACAGGCAGATGCTTCTTTGGAAATGTCCAGCCTTGGCTTTGGGAAGTCAAGAGCCTGTTTCAAAAGGCTTGAAAAACTTCCCTGGCTCCAAAGCCCCCACGTCCTCTCCTGTCTGTGTGAGGATTCAGCCTGGCCTCAACCTCTTCAGCTGCTCATGAGAAAGAATTTTAAGTGAACCATTTACCTTTTATGTGTTCTCTGCTTCTGCAGGCACATAAATAGCATGTTTTGCCATTAGTTACGTCAGGGTCTCCGTGGGAGCACCTGCACAGCTTCAGATTCGATCAGGTTCGGGGTTACAAAGATTTGCAAGTGTTGCAGGAGGTCCCTGACAGGAGTAGGGGCAGAACTAGCTGGAGTGTATCCAACTCTGTCTTCAGGGTAGGATTCCAAAACAGGATCCCACAGACTTTTTTTGCCAGCCTGAGCATCCAAGCATCTTCCCACAGTTAATTAAGTCAGGCTCTATTTTCAAAGCACCGCCACTTCACATGGACTTTTACAGTCAGGTATCAAGTGGAGTGAGTTTCTCTGCAGATCAGGAGAGAGCTGTGACTGCACTAAATCAGGATTACTGCAGGCAAAGGCACATTTCATTTGATCAGCTGTGAAAGGCACACCCCAACCTCCTTTCTCAGATGTGTCAGTACGCTGACTGCAGTGACATCCACGCCTCACAATGTTGTGGCAATCTATTGCTCTATGAATAAACACTATTTATCCTGTGGGGTTCTCTCAAATACAAACGCTTTTAAAAATTACACATTTGGCTGATGCTAGAAGCTGGAACTTCAAAGAATGACAAGCAAATTTCTGTGCCTGAGCTCCTTCTAAATCGAGAAGAAACTGCATGAGGAATATGAGGATTACTCTTCTAATTAGCTGTGCTAGTGGGGACCATCTTTATTCTTGGATGCCAATTAGTTTTCATGGCATTAAAATACTGCAGCCCATTTCATGAACAAACTCATCTCTTTCATTCAGCTAAGAGGATGGGTCTGGAGACAGACAACTGCACCTAAAGGCCACCATCTATCCAGTTTCACTAACAGAACCAAAATCCTTTCAGAAACCCTGTCATATGCAGTGCTGATTGCAACGTAAGGGATGATGGAGCTGCACAGCTGATACATTTTTGGGTCATTCTTCCACAAAAGTGAAACATGACTGTCACCACCTGTGGCCTTAGCACAGGGTAGCAATGGCCAGCAAACAGAGCTGCAGCTGAGAGACCCTGCGTGCTACACAGGGGTGATTTCTGTAGCATGGGTAGATATATACATATATATATATATATATATTTTCCCCCCTGTATTTCTATAGCAGGTCACACTGTGGAGTTTTATTCATGCCACATGCTCTTAGGCAGTGCAGAAGCAGCTGCTAGAAACTGACTTCTAGTCCTTAGTGTCAAAAGATTTTCCCCATAAAAAAATCAGAAGAATTTACAGGATATTTTTGCTTGAGAACCTTAAAAGTTCAGTCCAACTCCTATCGAATTGTTTTCCTTAGTCTTCTTTAAAAAAAAAGCAAATTTTCTTCACTTGCAAACTTCTTCTCTTCCATGCAGGATCCTTCTAGCTCCTGTTCTTCAGTGATATATCTATGCCACAGCAAAGAGGCCAAATATTATACAGCCAAACTGAAAAGAGGTTTAAAATAAGCCTACAAGGCATGTCATAACTGTTAAATTATATGAAAAATGCATGCACAGACCCTGCTGTGGTCTTCTGGAAAAAACCTGATCTAAATCCTCAGGGCATCTGGATACACTCACAGGCCACAGAACAAAAGAAATCACCGAACCCAAAACGAAGCCAAACCCAAAAGAGAGGTGGGAGAGGGAAGACCAGGTATAAACACAACCATTTCTCCAACATCCCAGGTTTTCCACAGAACATTTTCCCATATGCCGCTCATTGATACCTCCCTCCCTAGTCATCCTTCTCTCAGTTTGTTCGCACAGATGGCAGAAAACTTGATAATGCTCCTATTCAAAAGTAAGTTTAAAATAATAAACAAACAAACAAACAAATGGCATACTCTGGGACCTAGGGGACAAAGGACAATTTTTCCATATTGCAGTCAGCATCAAATGCCACTTCCTAGGTCCTTTCCCAGTAGCAACTCACTGGCATTGCTTGCTCCAGGCAGTAAATGCAACTTAGCTCCTGCAATTCCACAGGTAAATGTTTCCATGGGAAAGATAACACTGATGGGAAACAACAGGCACATCTCCTCCTATAAGAGAAAGTTGGAATTTGCCTAATAATGTGGGCACTACTGGGATTTTTAGTCATAAGACTTGATTGTTTCTGTGCTGCCTCTTCTCACCTGATTGTCTGTCAGAAAATGATCTGCTGGATTCCAAGTCAAAACTGACCACTCCAGATGAATTGGTCATCAAGCTAAAATGCAGCTTTTGGATCTTGAGCAGGGGCACAAGAAGCCCTGACATGATTACTCATGGCTTTACAAATCTGGCTATGACTAAACCTTCTCCCAGCCTCAGCTGCCACCAAATTGCCTTGCTGACAACAGAAGCAACCTCCACAGCCCCAGGCGCCTCCTCCTCTACAAGGGGGGAAGTAAGAGCACCCCAACATCCTCCTGACCAGACCAGGGCTCCTGGACAATGAACAGTGCCCAAAAGCTGCCAACACCTCTGTCTGGGCTGGCTTTTGGAGGATTAGCATCACTGCAGGACTGGAGTTCCCAGGCAGTTGATGCCCAGAGAGCAGCTGGAGGTTGCTGGAGCATCTCACGCTGCACACCCAGGTGCTGCCCCAAAGAAAGCCTTTCATGAAACAACCCCTGCCCAACGCCCCCTGCCCTTTTTTTACTCACACTGGCTTTTTAACCTCCTTGGTGAACTTTGGGGCCTCTGTAGTAGAACATAAGACAGGATAGAAATTTCTTTCAGCAAGCGAAATGTGGACTTAAGCCCTTGTATTTTGAGTACTGCTTGTCATTAAGCAAAAATGACTTTAATGGTTGCCTTTGCACTGCAAATAATTACATTTAGGCCATTAAATTGCCCCATTCAGTGTTTCTGCCTGCTTTTTGTCAACTGTGTATATTCCATTTAATATTTAAAGACTGGGGCACTAGTCTGACTTATTTAGTAATTAATTTCTTTAAATATTTATAGCACTTTGACTCTCAGCAAGGGTTCTGTTTGGTAAGAACAATACTCTTCTGTGGTTGATAGTGTCATGGAAATTTCAGAGGCAAATTTCCATTTTGTAACAAAAAAACCATATAGATTTCTGCAACAGATTGTAATGATTTCAGAATAAAGTTTTTATTACTGAACAATGTACGTACTGAAAAAAAAATCCAATTATGCCCTTGCACATAATTGCAGACTGAAAACAGTGTTGAGGGATCTATTTTATGACAGCACTATTCACACAGCAACAGGAATTGCCCAAGAAATTTTCCATCACCTTTTTTTGAATCGCCACTGGCACGGAGAACAAAACCCGACTGCAAAAACAGCCTAGGAAAGAGAGAGCAAAACCTACAAAATGCAGGAGGATATTTTGCTAGCACCTCTGCCCCTCGAAATATCC